TAGATTCATTCCGATTTTGGAAAACAGCTGTTTCGATTCCCTGTATTTCTCTAGCGCCTCTTTCTCGGAATTAGCGCAAAGCAGTATGTTGTCCACATAGAGATTCCTAGCAATTTCACTTGATAGTTCGCTATTATGCATGCGTAAGAATGTTAGAATTGCCATGTTTAGTATGCTTGGCGACGCTGTTATACCGAACGGTAACCTTTTGAAGCGGTATTCTATGATGTTGCTACGCACTGGTTGTTTGTCGAGGTCTTTAAGCCATAAGAATCGGCATAAGTCTTTGTGCGTGTCCTCAATTCTTATCTGAGTGAATGCGGCTTCTATATCACAAAGAAGCAGAATGTTAGCGAATCTGCTGGAGATAAGTATGTCATGCACTTTAGTGACGAACGATTCTCCCTTGTGGATGATATCGTTGAGAGAAAGTTGACCCTTCTTTTTTGATGATGCATCAAAGACCACTCGAAGAGGCACTTTTTTATGGGGTCGCCATACGCCAGAATGTGGCATGTAATAAATGCCAGCGGCGTTAGGATCAGTATCGTAAACGCGTTCGATAATGTCTTGACTTTCATAGTATTTAGGATTTTGGAGTACCAAAAGGACTGGTCATTGTTGGATTTTAGCGTTTTTTGAAGCGAGACTAGTCTTTTTATAGCAATGGAGTAGTTATCTTGTAACTCGTTTACAGTATCTTTGAGTGGGGATGGAGCCTTGATATATCCATTTTCAAAGGAGATAGTTTTGGAGTAGTCTTCGAGATATTTTTCAGTTTTATCATCTTTCGAACACTCGTCTGAGGCGATGCCGAGGCCTTCTAACTCAAAAAGTTTCTCGAGAATTTGATTGTCTGTGCTCTCGTAGATAGAAGTGAGACCATAGGAAATGTTTGGTACATTTTGCACAGATTCGACTTTTCCACAGCCGTAGATTGCGGCACCGAACATAGTTTTCGCTATGCGTAGACCAGAAGGTAGTCTTCGTGATGACCCTTCTTCTATAACTAAATCGTGATATCGATCAAGTCCGACCAGTATTTTGGGCATCTGGCGTTCACCTTGCAACTTGGAATTTGCCAGGCATATTTCTTGAAGCTCGAGAAAATCTGCGTCTGCTTTTGTGAGATTGACTGAAGGAAAACCATTTGTTATAATAGGTTTGGTTTGTGCGGTCATATTGATCTCCTTGCCATATGCTGAGCGAATTTTCAGAGGTACTGTAGAACTTTCGAACCTTTCAATGTGTCCTCCGATACCGGACATAACGCAGGTTTCAGTAGCTAACTTGGGGAGTCCAAAATCGCTAGCGGTATTATCTTCTATGATGGTTTTCTGTGCTCCTGTATCAAAGAAGAACAGAACTTTTCGAATCTGTGGCTGTTATTATTGTAGAGGCTACCCTCAGCTGTCATTAGGACGAGTTGTTCGCGTTTTTCATTCGAAACGTTTACATGAAATGAGTGGTTGGTTTCCTGCTCTGCCTGCAAGAATTGGGTGGTGGTTGGTTGCATTCTCTGTGCATCATTGATGGGGCGGTTGTTGAACCTGTTATCACCCGTAATCCGTCTTGGTTGTGCAGAATGATTTTGGGCTTCATTTCTACTGGCCTTCGATCGACTGGTGATTGCCACGCTCGAGTGGACGAGGATTGTCCCGAGGATATGCAGAGGCAGGGATGGTGTTTCTGCCCGCACGATCGACAGTCCGGTAAGTTGCATTGGTTGCTGGAATGCGTATTGCTGAGGCATTTCCAGCAGAGATTTTTGTTTTTGGCAACTTCCCTGCGCTTGTGTATATCTGACACTGTTCGGCAAGATGCAGACGTGTGGTTTGTGCGGTTGCAAAACGCACAATTGAAAACCTTTTTTGGGAAAGTATCCCGTTCATTTTCCTGCGCGGAACCCCACTGCGATTCAACGAAAAGTTTGGACGAAATCTCTTTCTCCAGGAGACGCAGGAGTTCTGATATTTTGAGGTCTTTGTTTTCCTGGTAATTCAAGAGAACATCTTTGACGACGCCGTAAGGGAACTTTTTTATGATCGTTTCAGTCCACATGGGGTCACTCATCGTTCGAATATCATAGCCTGTGGATACTAGTTGATTGACGAGGGAGTTGATGTAGTCCAAACAATCATCGCAGCTCTTAGCGCTGCGCGTTGCAGGTTTTAGTTCAAACAGTTTCTGAATAATTCTCGATCTGTTAGCTGGTTGGTTTTCGAATTTTTCCTTCAAAGTTTTTACCATCCAGTCATAGTTTTTTGCTATTGGTTGTATTCCCTTGATAGCTTTTTCTGCCTTGCCTCTTAGGCTGTTTTTTAAATAGAAAGTTTTTTCAATTTTGCTTATCTCATCGTTTTCGTGGATAAGTGATTCATACATAGCCCAAAATTCTGGAAACTCTTCTTGGTCTCCGCTAAATGTGGGCAGATTTACATTCGGAGGTCTGACTGACCTTATTTTTGTCGGTTCAGTGTTCAGATTATCCTCCGTTCTTGCTGAATTTGACCCTGCTAAGCTTTGTGCAGAACCCTCTAGCGTTGAGCTCGCAGAACTGCTTTTTTGTCTCCTTTGAGCTTTTGCCAAGTTCATTCTGGCATCTGTGAGCTGTCCCTTCAAAATGTGCGTGAAGGTTTCGGCTTCCGCGAGAAGTTTGAAAACGTGAGTGTCTTTCTCGATTTCCTGGATGTCTACAAGCATTTCTTTTTGATCTGTTTTCTTAGTGCTGTTGAACTGTTCCTCCATCTTATCAACTTTTGCTTGAAGAGTTTCTGCTGCCACTGTCACTCGCGTGATGCCTCCTGACAGAAGGGCTATGTTATCAGTTGCTAAGTCAAACAACTCCTCATCATTTTCCGGATATTGGATTTTGTCCCTGTATTCCTCGTAAGTCTTGAGGACACTCGCTAGGGCCGTTGCGCTAGATGAGATAGTGGTTTTGTGGAAAATTAGAGACATTTTTCCAATCTGATAGCTTCAAGAGGCGATAGATGCGTCTTGGAATGGTGCAAATACTTGCTTTTAGGGCTTACTGAGTCCCTGGGACAGGCTTGATGCTGACCTTGATATCGATTAAAAATTTTAGCCGATGCACCAGAAAATGTGGTGACTTGTTTTAGGCGGAAGGGTGGCGCTTTTAAGAATTGAGCGGGAGGGTGGCGCTCTTTGCTTCTGTCAATTAACAGGTGGTTCACTGGTACTGTTTATTACCGTTCGCTAGGAACGTATCGTAACAAGTGATGAGGAGGCGGCCACGCCCAGAAGGCGTGACCGAGGAGAGAGAGAGGGGGGCGGAGGTGAGAGGTTCTGGCATGTGCCAGAACAGTAGGCGTACTCTTGCAGTACTTCCGTGAGGTTCTTGGTTTGCCTTCTAATTTGTTTGTAGAGGCTGGGAAACAGCTTCATCATGAGTTGAATCCCTTTGTGCTGCTGTAGTAGCGAAGCACTGTGTCGGCCTTCGTATTTGGCCGATGCACCAAAATGTTGGGTGCTGTGCGAGACTCTTGGGTAATTGTACCCGAGTTAAAATTACTTTTGGTGGTTCAGTGGGTTATTCGAGGCGGACAACAGTTATTGAGCGAGAGGTTTATTGGGGCGGTTATCGCCAATGTAGAGTAACAACTGAAGGGGGCCAAAGCCACCAAAACAACATGCGGGGCCGCGCCCCGCCCCCCGTGAGGAGACATCATCGTCACCGATGATACATCTCCTGTCCTCTCCTAACCCGCCCACCCCAAGGACGAGTGATTTCCGCGGTCAGAGCGCCAGCCGCAATGCTATAAGCATGAGGTCCCGCAACGACTCTGCGTCTTCGCCATGGCGGGCTTCGCGTTCATCCGTCCATGGGGTGGGCGGGTTCGGAGAGGACAGGAGATGAGCGCTGCTTTCGCTTTGAAATTTCGGGGGTTAGAAGTGGCAGAGAAAGATCGAACTTTGGCCCATAGTTTCCATTATGGGGGCTCCTACCCTGTAACCTTGTTTTGCCACGGGTCTCATTCTGCCGACCTACTGCCTTTAAAGGCACCGTCCACCCTAAGTTGGGGGTGTTGAGCTTTTGGCAGCATATAACAGTAGAGCCTCCTATCAAGCCAATGTCCAAGTCGCCGCGCAAAATGCCGCTTCGGAAGCGAGAAAATTGCTTCGGAATAGCGAAGATGCACGAGGATCCCCATCCATGCCCGCCCCTTCCTATCCATGCCCGCCCATTTGTGCGCGCCCATCCAATCACCGTTCCGGAAAGCCGGCCTGTGGGTTCCCTGAAATGGGGATTTTCGGGATTTTCGCGGATTCTCGACTTCATATTTGGAATCAGGGACATGAGAAAGCCCTGAAACGACAAAAACCTGAAAGTCAAAAAATCTGGGTGGAGGGTGCCTTTAAACAGCGCCTTAGTTAGGACTCGCAAGCAATTTTCACCTGAAAGCCTCGCACCTTAGGCCGGGGCATCGCTCACGCGATTTCATCGCTTCGCTGTTCTCCTAACAAGAGAACTGTTAGGAGTTCATTGCATGTCGACCACGTAGCTCTCGGTTGTGGTAGTTTTCCGCCGCGATCAGTCGCTACTAATTATCACAGCCCAAATGCGAGATGATCTGCATGCAATGCACTCGTAACAGTTGTCTTGTGGGGATGTGGAATCGCGTGAACTCTGCCCGAGGACGTGATGGTTTGCCTTTACGCTTAATACGGTCTGTTGTCTCTGCTCATCAACATGCGTGTTCTGGATGATGTCCGGTTTGGACCTCCATCGTCTAAAATCATGATTTCTCAAATTCTACTCTGAGATCGGTACGGCAGAACCTCATGTGGGGCTGAGTCAAGCGCCGCATCCATATATCATCCTATCGAGGACTTCGCCTTGGTATGTTTTGCAGTAAAACCTTGAGCAATTTGGTCAGAAATGCGTGCCGTGTTTTGCCTTATTGTGTCGTATTGAACTCCATCACCACCATCAACTTCACCTGGAAATTTTCCCTTACAAATGTGTATGTTACCAGGTCCGCCTCGGTGCTCGTTTTCCTGGATTGGTTCTGAGCCCAACTGGAAAGACCACCTTAGCTCCCTCGGACCGTGATTTCATCGATCATTATGGACTGGGAGTGGTTGATTGCTCATGGAAAGAAGTTGAACGAACTCCATTGCACAAGGCCTGTCACCTTTCTTGTCGTTAAACCGGAGACTGTTTTGAGTGCAGATGATGCCACAATAAACCATTAAAGCATCCTGAGAAAACAAATTCAGGTCAAAGCCCCCGAGCATCGGTTATTACCATACTTGGTTGCTGCTAATTCAGTCAACTATGGTCGTCCGTGCCATCTAACATGTGCGGAAGCAATGGCTGCAGGTAAGGCTTTAGCTCAAGGAGCCTTACGTCTTTGTTTTTGAATCTGTCATAACTAGTGTGGCCCTTCTGCCAAATATCTCACAGTGTTTTTTTTTGGGGGGGGGGGGGGGAGGTTCTGTAGTCAAACTTCTTGAGTTTCGCGAATCTCCCATTAACCAAGTCTTTCATGAGGACGTTTGTAGCAGAGTAGTGAGAAAAGTTATTAATGTGACTCCTACCCTTTGCCTATAACTATTCTACACTATTCTTCTTCTGACATATGAAATCCAAGGTATTCAGTTTCCACAAAGTGACCAAAATACCGTAATTTTCCTCCTATATTTTCTTCGCATATCTTATGTTTCTTTTTCCACATCTGTGGTCATGTTTCTATATTATTTGGTCTAAAATAAATTACGTGAATCTCTGTCAGACTTTGCTGCTAGTGACATAGGATCGTTGATAGCTAAATTCGTACTAATATCAAAGCTTCCGATTTATGGTATGTGTTTACTGAATCGAACGTTATCCAACCGATAAGCAGTTGCCTAATATGTGCGCACTGAGCATGTATGCTTGGAATTTTCAAGTAAATCATCGCACTGTCTATATTTGTACACTTCTACTCTTTATAATTACTCTTTTATCTTTTACTCTTTTATGTCCTGTGTCAAATCTTTGTTATCCTTTGAATGCTATTTTGATTTGTATTTGTAATTAGCATATTTCCAGGTCTGTATATCATCGGCCATGTTGAAGCTGCAGAGCAAGTGATGAAGCATTTTTCATGGGGTCCTCACTTTATTGAACTTAATCGCGAGCTTTTGGATATGTATGCCGCTTGCGCAACACATGAAGAAGTTATTCGAAAACAGAACCAGTACCTAGAGAAGCTAGACCGAGAAGCAGAAGAGAGCAGGAACAGAAATATAGATTTACCACCAAGCGGCAGCGAATCGAGTGATGATGAAGAAGGCTGAATACCTTTTGTTAGGCCTTTTGCTTTTTTTTGGAAATCGTTTCACCTATGATGAACATTTCTCATATTTGAATCGTAGTTTCCCATCTTTGCTCTCTCTCTTTTTTTACAGCTGAATGTGTCTCCTCACGTTTTATTTTGCCGTTCTTGTTGTCTTTCTTGTTTTCGATAAATTAGTCTTTCAGGATGGATGTCTTAGATCAGTTTGAGAGTGGTTTTGACTACGCGATTGAAAAGCAAGGTATGCGACAAGGAGCTGAAGCTAGAATTTACAACTGTACATATCTGGGAAGACCTGCAATTATGAAGGAGAGGTGGGTGAGTCGCCGAATCGCATCTTTCGAATGATTTATCTTTTTGGTACAGGTTCGTCAAAAAATATCGGCACCCTGCTCTCGACCAACAATTGAATAAATCTAGGATGCGAAATGAACTCAAAGGAATAGTCAGAGCCAAAGATGTATGCGTTCTCATTTTTCTTTTAAATCATCCCTCTTTTATCATTAGTTTAGTGCTATTTCTTTAGTACGTCAAAAATTACAGCTTGGAGTAGCTACTCCTGCGATTTACTTTGTTGATAGCTACAATAACAAAATTATCATGGAAAGAGTTGAAGGATGTACCGCAAATCATTGGATAGAGTCTCGTCGGCTGGAACGAGGAGATTCAGAAAGTTTTCTGGTCAGCTGATCAATTTCTTAATCTTTCTTTCCTCAGTATAGACTTTGTATTTAAGGCTGACAATCAGGAATTCGGTAAGGCTTTGGGGCAAGCTATTGCCAAAATGCATCTCGGAAACCTCGTACACGGTGATCTGACAACTTCAAATATTATCATAAAAGATGACAACTTCAAAAGACCCATATTCATAGATTTTGGCTTATCATCTTTGGGAAAGGTTCGTTCATTTTTATGCGGAGAAATGTCCTTCCAACTGTGTGTATGTGCAATTCATGCATCTCTGGTCTGCCTTTCAAACATCACAGTTCCCATCCAAGAAACTGCTGAATACAAAACTGATCGTGCAGACGCCTAAAACCGAACTTCAGGTGTTGCCTGAAGATAAAGGAGTTGATTTGTATGTGTTGAAGAGAGCAATGATCAGCACGCATATCAATTCTGAAGAGATGTTTGAGTGTGTTTTGGAAGGTTATCGAAGCGTCAACGCAAAACAAGGACTTGCAGTGATCAAGTTAGTACCAGTTTTCAACGCTACTGCATTTCAGTTACTGTGCATCTTCCTTATTTAGAAAGTTACACGAAATTCGATTACGAGGAAGAAAGCGCGATATGACTGGGTAGCTCCCCTCTGTGTAAAGAAGTCGAGAATTATCATGGTTGTTATATGTTGTTGTTGAGCTTTTGAGATAAATTTGTTATAATTCACCCTACCCAGTCGATTACTATGTTTGCTCTTGCATATTTTCCTCACTAATGCAGTAATTTACCAATACTGAATTGCAGAAGTATTATGACTAATAAAGCAAAAAACCATGGAGACTCACACGAAGATCTCACTAGTGGTCACATGTACTTTACAAAGGTAGGTCGCGTTTTGCACTACGTTGAGATGTATACATAGTTCATTTGTGAAGATTGAAAAGTCCATAGGGGCATTTTTGCTTTCATAGTAATTCTCATATTTGGTGAGCTATAAATCCGCTGTTCCAGGTTGATGATCTGCCGGAAAAATTCAATAAGGATGCGTTCAGTATGAGTGACATTTTGCAGATTGTTCGTCCACAGTTATCCCTTCACTTTAACTTCATGATAGATCTCGAATGGCTGCTTGAGTAAGTTAGCTGAATGTGTGCCTGACGCGGATATCTAGGAGTTTAGGCAATATCCTGCATCATGCAGACATTGCCCAATAATGTGCGTTGTTGGAGAAAAAATGGGAACAGACAAGCGAGAGTTGCAAAAGGTACGAGCTTGCTGATTGTGACTCCTTAATCAATATGTAGGTTTGCCAGGTATTTTGTAAGGTGTCTTTTCAATTCGAAAACACTAGCTGGGTCTCAATCTATTTCTAGACGTTTGCAGTCAATATATATACTCACCAGTGCACGTTTCATCATTCAGGAAGTGACTGCTAACAAATGGAGCAATATCTCGATTCATGGTGCTAAACTTCCATTACCGTATGGAACGCATCATACTAAACTGTCACTGATGGAATCAGAGAATGATTTACATGTCTTTGTATATACTGCAAATCTGATAGAAAGTAATTTTTTTGCAAGAGTCTTATTGCTTGAAATACAGTCGAGTAGATTTAGCGGTAAATATAGTGTGCTTGCACAGAAGGTGAAATGCGGTGAAATTTGCGCGTGGACAAGCAGCCACGTCAGTACCGCGGGTATCTTGCGCGCGCAAATGGCCGGCGTCACAGTCGAAACTATTTCTTCACGCGCCAATTTTTACCGCATTTCACCTTCTGTGCAAGCACACTATATTTACCGCTAAATCTACTCCACTGTATGTACGTGCTCATTATTTTGTTTAAGATGACTGGTATCGGAAGACACAATGCTTTTATTACGCTAGCGGTTCATTTTGCAACGAGAGGTGAATCACTGCATTTAGCAGTTTCTACTAACGCTATCGTTGCACCATTTAGGGAACCTCCGGAGAGTGAATTTGTCAAGGACTTATGTAGCTATATGTCAGAGTACCGTTTGCCGGAACTTGACTACTGGATGGACCGTATAAAAAACTGTGATTTTGGTGCCATCCATGATCGCTTGGTATTTTCTGTACCAGGCTACCATCAAGCATCTCGCATGAACAAGGTTAATTCGCATTGCTCATTGCTTGACCCAACGCAAGGGTTTTAGTTTGGTCATCCGTCATTGGCGCGACTTCTGAAAGACCGTCCTGCAGCAGAAAAAGGTGTACGTCGATTATTTCTAGCTCAGTGTAGCTCTATAGGTTCGTTGGGTGCTAATCGAGAAGTGTGGCTTCTTGCCCAGTTCTTGAGTTCTCTGCAGGGTGGAAAGGATCTAGGTGAACCTATAATTTTGCGAAGCGTATTTCGCATTTTGTATGTGTTTCAGGACTTGCACGGCTTTGTCTCATATATCCTTCTGTCGAAGATGTGAGGAATTCCTTGGAAGGATACAGTGCAGGTGATTCCCTTCCTTATCAGGTATATTGGCTCACATTTCTTTTGAATGCTTTGTTTTATCTTCTGTTGAAGGAGTCCACCGCCAAAAGACAGCCATGGCTAAGGGACATGATGTGTAAATGGAGAAGTGAAGGAAGAGGCAGAAGCAAGGCAATGCCACATGTAAAAGTGAATCGTTTAGGTCTCTAGACCAAACGGAAATTGTTTGAAATTGGGATTTCTAGACTTACACAGAGATTTGGGATGGTATTCCTCAGTGGTTGCTTGTCACCAGTGCTAATCTTTCTAAAGCTGCATGGGGAGACTATCAGGTAAGAAACTTTTGTATCAAAATTTTTGCACTTCTACTTGGAACATCTGTTTCCGTTTCTGTTTACAGAAAAAAGGGACTCAACTTATGGTTCGTTCATATGAAATTGGCATTTTAATCACAGATCCTGAGCGCATCAAGCTACCATATGATTATCCAGTTGTGAAGTAAGTGCGCTACATCCTTGTTTGTGCGCTCATTGTTTTCGAAACCAGGTATGGACCGAATGATGGCCCATGGATATGCGATGTGTCATACACAAAAGCAGACAGCCATGGAAGAGAATGGATAGTTGAACGTAGATGAAACACATGACGACTGCATGTCAATTCTACAACCCCTTGATATCTTTACGCGCTACTTTCGCGGTTTTTGTATCCTACCGTACTCCTCTACCGCACAATGTGAGCTACAGCAGTCAAGCTTTTACTCAAGTGTATGCATTGAGACAGTCTTTTCAAAATATGCGTTCTTGAACTTGCGTCAACACTGCCACTCTCGCACCGGTCTCATTGAAATTTCATTATGCAGATCATTCATGACTTTCAAGTGTTTGGTTTAATTTTTTGTTTTCAGCCGCGCCAAGGTAACAAAGTATGTCCTGTGAGAGTCTGCATAATCTAATCTATAATTTGTTAAGTGTCCTTGTCAGCAAATTTTAACCATTCCTGACCACGTTTTCAGTGTTTTATGATTTACAGTTGCAAGCATTTTGTGGCAAATTTTTAGCCAACCTGCTTATACACTTCATAACTTTGCCACAGATCTCCTGTGCATGCGTGCTCCTACATACCTCATGCTATTCCTGACATTTCAATCTATTCACTCCCCTAGTTTTAGTTATCTTGAACTCTTTTTTGAAAGCTTTATGGTTTTATAGATGAATCTTTTTAATGACATTTCAGATATATTTTACTGAATTCTTTTTCTCATAGCATATCTTAGTCTGGTGCACGCTCGCAGTAATTTGTTCAAGTATTTCAACTCAGAGCCATCACCATGGCTAAGCCGTCGAAAATACCTAGAATTGCTCACAAAGACCTCGTTAGTGGAAATTTGTATTTTACGAAAGTAAGTTTGTTTTATCTGAATGGGTAAGGCTGACTTAGATATCATCCCAGGTACCGCTGGAAGTGAGTTTCGAAGATATCGCGCGAGTCATTAGAATTTCACCAAAGGAGTGAGCTTTGAGCTGGTCCAGTTTGAGACTGAAAATCATGTGCTAGTGGTGGAAAAGAGTTTGGTTGCTATTTGTTTAGGTCGACAAGTTGGCGGAAAAGTTCAATGCGGATGCCTTCAGCTTTAGCGATATTGTGCAAATTATTCAACCACGCCTATCTCTGCACTTCAGCTTTATGATAGATCTTGAGTGGTTGTTACGGTAGGTGATTCGTACAGTTTATTGTGTGATATGTAACTCGTATCACAGGCAATATCCTGCATCATGCAGAGACTCCTCGATAATGTGCATTGTTGGAGATCAAATGGGAACGGATAGAGAAGAGCTTGAAAAGGTGTTTCGTAATGTGCATGTTACTTGTTACAAATTTCCCTACTAGTGCGCTTTGGCTCTTTTTTGCATTCTGCATTAACCCTTTCGGACCTGGTGGTGGCAATTGCCACCATCAATTCAGAGATCTACTATACTGGCGCAAGAACATCATTTCACTACTCATTGCTCTCAAACGCTTCATATCTTTGCCTTCCAAATGTAGCTTCGAGACCGGGTGTTCATTTGCTTCTCTGTGATTAGCATGTACATTTCTGTAAACAAGTGGATTTCAACCAATCAATAATTTGCGCCGGCTTGAGCACCGTTTCAGTATCTCGTTTATTAGCCAAAAAATATTCATAATATTATCATAATGTTTTAGTACGATGCTGAGCAAATGTAACTGTTAACTGTTTGCGGGTCCACATGTTTCGCGGGAGATTTGAAAATCCAAAATAAGCGCAAAACCAAAAAATTGAAAAATCAAAAAGAAATAGTTCATAAGGTTAAGCAGACTCCAAACTCCGCTATAATGTTATTCATATGGTAATAAGTAAAAAACACTAGGAGAGAGGCTTCCCGGCTCACTCGCAAAAACTCAGGTCAGAAAGGGTTAAACTAGACTGCGATGATATCCAGTTTTTTTATTGTTAACTCATGCTTCTTACTACATCTACCCTGCTGATAAAGTCATGCTTGGTAGATGTGACGATGCTTACCATACTATAGGCATGAATCACTGATTCCAAATCTGTCTTCTCAACCTGCAAAACATTTATGGAAGAGAAATTGTGAACGAGCAAAAAATTGAATGTGCCAAGTAGGAAAACAGTCGTATTATTTTTAGGCGTTTTGACTAAGCAGTGATGATTATCAGAGCACTTTATTCAATGAAAACTTCTAAGATAGAAAATACATCACACTTGGTTCCTTTATAGCAGGGCTAGTAAGATTTTAGCAACTTAATTTACCCTAGAATCACATTTGATTTTTTGCTCTAATAATCGCTATAACTCTACGTCCACAAACGTGCTGCGAATAAGGAAGGCAGATTTGGAATTTGGAATCAGCGTTTTATGCTCTTCGAAATCATATACATCCTATAAGGCTACTTCGAATAAACATGCTTCCCTTGTAAGTCTGAATAAGATTTTATCCAGAGTGTGAGTGTCAACAAGCGAAGCAACGTTTCTGTATTTGGAGCTAAACTTCCGATACCATATGGCACCCATCATACAAAGCTGTCACTTTTTGAATCTGAGACTGGTTTGCACATCATCGTTTCGACTGCCAATCTTACGGAAGGTATTTGCAAGTGTTTCGCTTCCTTCTTTGACGTGCAAACATCTCAGCTGACTGGGGCGAGAAGACGCAGTGCTTTTACTATGCTATAGGGCTCTCTGGTAACAGGTGCCTCATATGCTGTCAGCTTCAAAGTCAATGCGAATATGTATTTATAGTGCAACAACTGAAAGTGATTTTGTGGAAGATCTATGTAGCTATTTACTGGAATATCACCTCAAAGAACTGGATTACTGGATAGACCGCATAAAAAGCTGCGACTTCAGCGCGAATACTGACCGTTTAGTCTTCTCTGTTCCTGGTTACCATCATTCTACTCGAATGAGCAAGGTTAGATGAAAACAGAGATCCCTAAGTCTTCTAGCAACACTTATTTTTGTGATTTTTTTTCTTGAGAGACGGATTTTTAGTTTGGCCATCCATCTCTCGCACGACTTCTCAAGGAACGACCTGCACCGAAAAAAGATGCACGTCGACTCTTTATCCTTCAGTGTAGTTCTATAGGCGTATTGGGTGACAACGGCAAAGTTTGGCTCCTTGATCAGTTCCTAAGTTCTCTGCAGGGTGGCAAAAGCCAAGATCTGGGTATGTTTGGTGACATAACGAAAATAATTTTAGATCTCAATTTCAGACCTCTCAAAAATTCTTCTTATATTTCCAAGCGTAGAAGATGTACGGAATTCTTCAGAGGGCTATCGTGCTGGAGATTACATTCCTTATCCGGTAATGCTTCCTCTATAACTTTTATATATGATTTTCGTCATGTTTTGTTTGAGGAGTTGACTGCCTTGGGACAAACATGGCTGGATGATGTGATGTGCAAGTGGAAGAGCGACAGCAGTGGCAGGAGTAAGGCAATGCCTCATGTGAAGGTAATTCTGTCTTTGAACATGTCGGATAACTCTTCTTTTTCTTCTTCATGATGTCCATCAGTATGGAGTGATTAGTAGCCAAAGATCTAAATCTAGATTCATCTAGACTTATACGGAATTATTGGATGATATACCACAATGGCTCCTCGTGACCAGCGCAAACCTCTCCCGAGCTGCATGGGGCGAGTATCAGGTACCTATCTTGCTTGCGGAATTACCTTGGTATCATGTTTAATCGTCTAGAAGAAAAACAGCAGCCAGTTTATGGTCCGCTCCTATGAACTTGGCGTTCTGATAACGGATCCACATCGAATTAAATTTCCTTACGATTATCCTCTCACGAGGTATGGAGCCATGTTAAGTATCTGGTTTTTATTTTTAAGTGCAGTTCAAGTATTCGTCTATCACATCTTCTTCCTCAGCTCCGGAAACATTGCAAAAAGCTATCACCCCCTTCTTCCTTTTTTGATGGATCTGACCAACTTCTATGCAATGCTCGCTCGCTCCCTCTATGTAAAGAAATAGGAAATTTTTACGTTCCTTACATTCTTAAAACTTTTTCATTAGTATAGCTCTCACGGGCTTGCTGAGTCTCAAAAAAGCGTTGTCTATATTTCTGAAGATTCTAAAGTGTCTTTGGACTTACATTGCTGTTGGTGTGACTGCAAGAATATGTGTCTCGTTCAGTAACTTCTTGAGTATGCCATGTTTTTGTTAATTCTTGACTCATACTCTATATTAATAGTGATAGCATGATTGCGAAGCTTCTATTTTCCTAGTTTTGTTTACATCTCCTAAGTTAGTTGTTATCTCTACAACATATAGATTACAGAAGTTTCCTTTTTATTTCGATGCAAACAAATTAGGAGGCAAAAATTTTCTATGAGTAGCGAAATTTATATATCACTTAGAGTTTTAGCGTTCAGATATGGTCCTAGTGATAGCCCATGGGTGTGTGATGTTTCATACACAGAAGCCGATAGTCATGGAGAAAAGCGGATTGTTGATGAAGATTAGAGTTCAGAGTTGCCACCACCTGAAAATTTGACCTCGATTCTTATTCTCATGTATCGCGTTTCTAATGTTTCTATACATCATTTTTGTTGTTGATCCATTTTTCGCAATAATACTCTCACGTACAGATAATATCTTGCAGTCCGACTGTACTTAGCCGGGTAGGGATTTTTTTTTTTGTGTTTTAAGATCTCCTTAGCATTCTTAGTTTGCTTCGAAGATTTCGTTAGGCGATAATGCGTATGATTCAACTCATTCTCTTTCGTTCGCATAAGATTTTTTTGTCTATCTCACGCACAAAAACCTCAGCTTTGTATCAGATATCAACGCTCGGAAGTGTCATATTGAGAACTTAGTGTCATACATCTTGTGTTAGATTACTCGATTAGATCTTCCCCAGGATTTTTTCTGTTCACTTTGACTCTAAAGTCCAATTTCATCAAGCTTTACGTTGCCTGTTTATGTAGTCTATATTTATAGCTTTGTCTATTGTAAATAAAACTTACTTAGTTCGTTTCGTTTTTTTCGGATGGATATTCCTGATTCTATGGGTTGTGAGGACACTGCTGATTGCTCCGTACAGATTACTCACAACTTACAGTCATATGTGCTCAGCTCCATTCCATGGGGAAAAGGATTCGAAAGTTCTCTCCTATGGAGATATTGTTTTGTATCAGTCAGACGTGAATACCTTACTACCCGGAGTATGGCTCAATGATAATATTATTTCATTTGCTTGCGAATTTCTCATGGATAATGCGTCTCAGGAAGTAAAAGAACGGGTGAGTGAGACAAGAAGAGAATTTTCGAAAATCAAAGTCTGATTTAGGTGGTTGTTGTGGGTGCGGCAACATGCGAGTTAATCAGGTACGCGGGTGACGAGGCAGTGATCCGCGAAATTTTTACCTCGTTGAATTTCTTTAAGAGAGAAAAAGTGAGTAGTCTGTTGTTATACCGTAGGTTACTTGTCGGCACAAATTTTTTGAGATGTTGACAGATAAGCAACTGGACCATGTTAAAAGTGAAAGGAACACATACCTTCACCATCTTCAGATCCTTTTTATCCTTAACGACCGTGAAGACCCTAGAGTTGTCGGAGGCTTCCATTGGTCACTACTTGTATTAGAGAGACGATCTTCCCATTTTCATTACTACGACAGCACGAGACCTGCCAAGACAGCCATCGCCAAGCAGGTTTGTGCGGCTTCTAGCCTGGTTCTGATCTCTAGTGTTCATTTTCAGCTAGTCAAGATCGTTTCTACTTTCCTCGACGATGACGATGTCAAATTCACTGTTGAAGAATGTCCACAACAACGTAATAGCTTTGATTGTGGGATGTATGTGATCGAATTTGTACGGCATGTTCTGAAGGTTTGTCGGGTTTTACCAAAGACTAGTAGATTCTCGCGCGGTTGGTTTGTAGGCTGTAAAAAATGTTGGGCTCAGCTTTTATGAGATATGAAAATATCTGTGAATGGGAATGTATATGGCAGCAGTGCTGGTACCTGGAAGGTTTTCGAAGACGAACGATCGGTTCCATGCTGAGATAAGATTGGCTAATTCGAAAATGTTGCAAATCTAGGAAATTCCATCTAATGACTGGTGAACATGCAAGAAAATCATGCTTCAGTCTTGAACCTATCAATCAGATGTTTCCTATCATTTTCGTCATCTTTCTCTTTGTGATACCATTTGTTGAAAGTTCTGAAACACTTCGGGCTGTCAATAAACATCATATCATAATAAAAGTTGATGGAAAATTTGCGTAAGCATTGCAGCTCGAACAATAGGAAACTCACAAGTGGATTAAATAATCTTGCTACACAAAAAACAACAAAAAAAGAAAACTCAAAATCGTGGTGGAAATTACGTTTTTCAAGAAGAGGTTTTTTGAAAAGATATCTCGAATAGAATTTTGACTGATCACTGTGGTTTATGTAAAGTTATTTCGACTAAAGCTCGAGTTGCAAGCTTTTGCATAAAATTTTTTTTTGAATTTCGATCTTTGGCAACAGCTCATTTATCTTTCCTGTGTTTTCTTAGTTGTCAACATCAATTTGCATAGCGCAGCCCCATTTCGAAGTCTGTGCCACCGCACCGAAATGAATGTGAAGAGCAATACATGTGATTTTTCTGTTTTTCTTCAAAGCATTTTTACAGCCGCCTTCGAGCGACACGCCTCCTACAATAGTTGATTCAGAATATATCGATATGGAACGACGTTATTGGCTTGATATTATCAAATCTCTAGCATCGGGATCACATCAAAGTGTAATTGTTTGACGCTAACCTATCAACAATAAAAAATTTCTTGTAAACGCTAGTCGTTTATCAGTGGCAATACCATAGCATGCATCCTTGTAATGTGTTTTCTTTAGCTGAATTCTGTTCGATGCTTTTCAGTATGATCACACCATCGTTCAGTATAGCTCAAGACGATAAGCAGCTTGTGTTTACGATAAAAGCTCCATATGCGAAAATAGCCGACACTGAAATAGAATATGTCGATGACATATTCATGTTTTCGTCACCGCCTTATTACCTTCGGTATGGCACACTTTCCTTTTATTCTAGCATCAAAATGGTGAAAAGTATATTCAACCGTCACAGGGTTCACTTACCGCGCGAAGTTGTAGATGACAACTCGGGCACAGCGCGCTATGATTCTACAGCAGGTCAGTCCCACCCTTACTGCATACCTCAGCACATCAGAATATCTTTGAACTGACTAAATCATTCAGGTGAATTCATCGTAAATGTCCCTAAGAAGAATGTTGGTGAAAATTTCCCTAATTTGGACATGATTACCGAGCTTCTGAATCCACAAAAGAAAATATCAGCTCAACAACTGGTTGAGGAAGTTGCTGATGATGCAGAAGAGGGTGAGCGTGCCTCGTATATGCCATTTTCTACTGAACAGTTTTTTGCAGAGAATTTGGATGACATTTATTTGATTGAGCAGAACATCACTGATGTAAGCGCCGGGTGCACGGAAAATACCGAGACTAATTGTGGTTATGGATTTGCATGGAAAAGGAATGGGGTTTTAGGTAAGATCGTCATTTTCGATTAGCCACTGAAGTTACCAAATGATGATCACGAGCTGAGATATGTCGACAAATCAGATGAGTAGGAACAATACTGTCACAAACTGGTGTAAACATTAACTTAGGCACTAAAAAAATTTGAGATAAGGTGGCTTGATCTTAGTGGTCTCAAGTCTTCAATCTATAGCTCTAACTTTATCTACGTGGAAGGAATGCGTATCCTACATCATCGTACCGGTATCAAGCTGCCCGCGCCAAATGTTTTTCTCTTCAGCGATCATATAACGTATCTTCAAGTTATGATGACAAATTTTGATGGAAGTTGACTTTGTAGGTCCAGTTGCACGGCTTCTGAGGTTCAGTTCTGCGGGCTAACCCTTTAGCTTACTGTTGAAAGAAATCGAGAGGTTGTTGTCACATAAATAGCAGACATATCCGAAGCGGACAAACATCTGTCCAGAAATTCAGGATTACTTATTATTCAGAAATTAATTTTTGCACGATAGTGAACGCAGTTCAGGTCAGCTGAGTCAAGAGATTGGTGCACTTGTGGAGTTGACCAATCCTGAGCACACTCCCATAAGTGAAAGAAGCGGACTATGTCGCCAGAAGGATCTGGAGGCGTTCGACCCTGAAAGATACCTGTATGCGCTTCGAGAGTTTATGACTCCTTATGATGTAAAAAATTGCAGGATAGATTTTATGGAGCCTGATGACGGTCTGAAAGCAGCAATGGACTCCAAATTTGGCCTGCAGCTCAAGATCGATGCTGATGACGTACAACGATTGAAGGACTTTCCGAAAAAGAAGCTTCCAAGGTGGGTCGCGCTTGTATGAAAACCAAAACATAGTCTGTCTTGTAGGTTGTCACGAAAAGAACGTCGATCTGTAGCCTTGTCAGTGATTGATTTTGTCTTTGCTTTTGCTTACGACTCAAGAATCAACGAATGGGAAATCTGTTGCGAAAGTGGATGGAATTATGTTAAACTGGCACCGAGCCTTGCATTCCTTTGTCGGTGGGAGAACGCTACCGAGGTAACGAAGATCTTGAATACCCTGTTTTCTCCAAATCGGCTGTATCATAAATCAAGGCCTTAGTCGGATGTGTACGACGTTCAATGTGCTACCCGTTATACCGAAACTGGGATCTGGCTTTGAAAGTAGTTGAGGATACAAAACGCATAATAAGCGAAGGTTTCCTATTTTGTTTTGACGACGAGAGCTTGTTGTCTACAAACAGTGCCATTTAGGACGTTCCGCCATACTGCATATTTTATGTAAAATCCATGAAGTGCTAATTACATCGGGAGAGTTTCGTTATCTTTTCAATGACCTTTTTATAACCGAGTACTGTATCTGGATACAAAGCGTTGATGATGATGTGCTCCACGACTTACAAAAGGAGTTAGCTGAAGTTAAGGTGGATGAATGCTCCACAATTTATGCCAATTTGTGAAATGCAGAATCGTTGTCTCAGATTCGCAAGGGCGATCTCGGCTTGGACCTGGATGAGCTTGAACTCGAGGGAAAGATGACGGCCATGAAAGTCAAGGAAAGTGAGCAGCTGGATAGCGACGACGAAAGGCAGTAGTGGATATTACTGGCGATAAGATGTCGGAGGACCTCGGATCAATTCAGAAAGAGAACACTACATCCTTCAGCATTTACTTTAGGATACAATCTTATTTACACCTTTCTGCTTGAAGTCGCCACTAATACCAGTTTTTGGCTTTTGAAAATCGACAAGTGTAAAAATTCAATATATCGATCGGTGTCTGTGCACATCAGTCTTCTGCTCTTCTCGCTCTTTTGTTCTACATGTGCAAACAGCTTCTCACTTCACACCTTACAACGAACTTATATCAGGGTGAAATCTTTTGCTTCATTGTCTTTCACCGTTCTTCAGTTAGCATTCAATGAACAAAGGCGACTTAGGTAAATAATTGGAGCGAAAAACGTTCTCCGTTATAAGTTTAGCAAGGATCTCATGTTATCTATTTTGCCTCTGGAGAAAAACGTGGAGAAAGTAAGCTGATTACACTAGGATCAGAGTCGTTGACATCAATTACGAACTTTGACTTTACCATTATGCTTCGTTTATGGAGCATGCCACCTATGCTCCCCAATGTGGTCACAACAATTAAAAATTGCAAAACTCTCAAAAAGCTAAGTGGTAGAATCAGCGTTGAAAATCCTGTCGCACGTTCAGATTTTCGTAAAAAGGTTATTTGGAACGGCTAATTTGTAATGGCAGTAATGCTAAGAGTTCCTGCCGTAGTTCTCCAGTGATGAAGAGCGATCTGCGCTTTGTTCCACACCGTAAATCTTAGCTGAGGCCAGCTCTACAGAATGGTACCTGAAGAAAGGGGAAGAACATTGGATTAAGAGAGATATCAAAAATCAAACAATGTGCACATTTTCTAGCATGTAAATCATCACTGCCAATTTATAAGCAGAAAGTCCGCAATAATTTTTGTCTTTCTGTTCTTTTTATCACCTTTTTGAAATCTTATGTACATGTGGATCTCTTGTAATTACATTGAACAAAGAGGAACCTGACATGTATTCCTTTCTTTTCCTGGACTTTGTATGTACTTGAATGTTTTGTTTGTTTTTCTCATTAGTTGAGTTTATCTTTCGTTATTTTTGCTGTTCCGTTTTATTTTCTTGGGTAGCTGAATTAATGAATTTTCCGTGAAGCATCTTTATGTACACTAGGAATGAACCCAAAAATATCTTTTCTATGATAAGGTCATGTTTCATTTGCTCAAGTTATATATAATTGTGGCTTTTCCTAGCTTGTCTGATGTCCAAATATCTCTACAAACAATATGTCCGACTAGTGACAAAGTGGCCCAAAGACGAATACAAAAGTGCTGAGAGGTATGTATGTAATTGAGTAGCAAAAATTTTTCGCGAAGTAGCGTAGCTGTCGAGTTTCTGCCTTACTCTCGCTCCACTAGCTGAGCCTGCCACCTCATTCCCTAGAAATATGAAATTTCCAGAAATCTGTCGGTTTTTTTGATCAAGGAAGTGGAGCGACAGTTCAGAACTGACACATCAACTTTTGATGCTGGGCTTTGTGAGAGGCGACTACGCGGTAAGAAATTTTAACCAATGATAGAGCATGGGTCCGGAAACTGGATCATTAGTTGTTTATGTCTGTACGCAAGCGTAAAGAAAATCTCTTTACATTTCGCTGTAAAGATACCTTGTAAGCGAACTGCAAACCCTTACTGCTTGAATATGCCTACTGGGTTGAACATGTATCAGTTTTGCTTGTGATTGCGTCAATGTTAAAACGATAAATTACGCTATAAAGTTAAATGACGCATCAAAGCTAAAATTCACGAGATCATCTCCAAAATTTGCATCACTTTTCTGTGGATGACGCTAGCGAGGTCAAAGAAGTTCTCGATATGCACGATCGCTTGAAATCATTAGGCGAAGTTAGGACTAACCACATAGGGTTCTTTTGGTGCTACAGTGTGTCAAAAATATATCAGTGTGCAAATGGTGAATCGGTACAACTTTTCATGCATCTTTACCTACAACCACTCATAAAAGTCGTAGAATTCGCCGACTCCGCCGAAATGCGCTGACATCAGCGGCGCGTAACCAAATTTGGTGCAGAGTGGACAAATTCTACCAAGGGCACCGTTCGACTCAACTTGGCGAGGCGCACCTTCATATATACAGAAATGTCCGTTTGGCACAGTAAGATGTCATTTTTCACGAATTGTTTAGATTTTTGCTTACTGTAGGTTCCATAGTGTTCTTATTCAATGCACTCATTGAGTGACCTACCATAGGCAAAAATCTAAATAGATTCGTGAATCTGACCGCTTACCTATCCAAACACTTTTAAATACCAGAAGATGCATCTTTCCAAGCTAAGGTGAGCGGTGTCCATGGATTTAGGATTCGTCTACTCTGAACCGAGATACGGTGATGCGACGTGAATGTCGGCGCACTCCGGTAGAGTGCGGCAACTGTGAGTTATGAGCGGTATTGTATTGCACAACGGGTGGCATATTGTAGGGCTAGTCCCAGTTCACACACTACAATGGAATTCGCTTTGTACTGTACAATAAAAATAAGTTAAACCTGGACCTACAATCTATCGCTTATAGTTTTTCACCCGAGATTATGGTGTCGAGGCGCAGTTACTCCTCAACTGCTCAGGATGGAGGGTGGCTTCTATGTGAGGATGAAGGTTCAAGACGCTCATAGTTGATGTGTAGCGGATTTAACTAGTCTTAAATCTTTATTTTACAAGTTATATAATAAGGGGGAGGAGAGGGGGGAGAGGTAACCGGCTCCTGCCGGCGAGCCGAGGTCACTGTCAAGGTTCACTGTTTTAGGCCACCTCCATCGTGAGCAGCTTTTGGGGAATAGCTGCATCCCGACAGCTCCATTTCTTCGAAAGCTCGTCCTCAGTTTGTTTTGCTGCTGTTGAGCGTTTCCGTGTTGCGCGTAGAAGAGTACACGGGTTAGGGCGAAACTAGAGAACTTTATTTGGTACCATTACCTTCGCATTTATCAAGTAGGGGATTCGGTTTGGGCGGGCTGGATAACCATCCGGCGAGCTTCACTTCTCGAGATGCAGTCCAACAGCTGCTCACGATGGAGGTTTTGGGAGTAGCTGCATCCCGACACTGGTGAGAACATACACCAAGACTTCTCAAAAGTATGCGAAAGAGTTGGAAACTTTGTTACCAGGTTGATTAGCATTGCTGATTCCGTATATGAGCTCATTTCTTCCTCAGTCCTCAGCTTGTAAGTCACGACAGGTGTGACGCTTTTCCCAAGCGCCAAAAATCGAAAATTTTGGAACGGTGGCTGTTTCTGAAGACATATACGGGGTGCCCTTGCCGTAAATGTAGTAACGAAGAGCGATGTGTGATGTGCTTTGTATAGTAAATAAATGAACTGTAACTGAGTACCAATTAAGGAGTAACTGTAATAACTAAATGGTAACAAAAGCTGTAGTAAATCTTGTTGTAGCCACTTCAAAATTATGCTAGTCAAAGGTCCACCTAAGGCTTTTAGATACGGAAGGTGTCACTCCTCCTCCCCCCCCCCCCCCCCCGCCGGGAGTGGGTCGCGAAATTTTTGAAGTTACTTTTATGAGTCGTAAAAAAGTGCAAGGGACTTGTTTGCACTGTAAATAATTAATATAATTTTTAGAACTCCAATCCAACCTTATAAATTTTTTTCGGGGCGTGGCTGCCGCCACGCCTCCTTTTATGATTGAGGTTATGAGTCAGCAAAAATTTCAGGATGTATACCAAAAAATTTTACGGAGTGTATGGCTGACGCCACGTACCTTCGTCGACAATTTTTTCTCTCCCCCCTCCCCCCCTCCCCCGCCCTCCCCCTTCCCCACACCCCTTCTCCCCCCTCCCCCCCCCCCTTCCCCTCTTCCCCCCCCCTCTCCCCCCGAACGAAAATCCTGGGTGTCAACGGCCAAAACAACTAATACATTTAGGGCCGCATGCACTAACATTTCCGCTAGGGAGGGGATCGCAGCTTCAGAAGAAAGCTTCATATTCTGAAGCTCCGGATACCTGGATTTCACGCTGTCTACCTGTCCGTAAGTACTCCCACCATCCTTCACTATGAACATATTGAGCAGAAGCGAGAAGCTGTACAAGCCGCATTTCGCAGCTTTTTGTAGGATCCCCTGATGGTCCCTGGGGGACGAACATCTATTCTTCAAAGTCATTTTTCTTTCTCCGAAATTAACGAAAACCTTCCAAAGTTATACTGAACATCTAACACAACAGTGCTAAGCATGTTGTTGATGAGAACAAATGAATTTTTGAAAAATCGAATTTTTCTTTATACCCCAAATTTCGACCTGTGGATCATCGAAAATTTCATGACTTCAAAACATCATTTGTTCTTATCAGCAACATGCTTAGCACTGTTGGGTTAGATAATCTGCACAACTTTGGAAGTTTTTTGTTAACTTCGAAGAAAGAAAAACGACTTTAAAGAAAAGCGCCGGGGAGCATCAGGGATCATACAAAAGCTGGAAAATGCGGTTTGTACAGCTTCTCGCTCCTCTTAACATGTTCATAGTGAAGGGTAGTAGGAATACTTACGGATAGGTACACAACGTGAAATCCAGGTATCTGGAGTTTCGAAATATAAAGCTTTCTTTTAAGCTGGGATCTCCTCCCCGCGGGAATGTTAGTGCATGCGGCCCTTAGTATACCCTTTACATATGTCTGTTCGCGAAGAGCACAACGTACTTATCTATTGCCGCTGAACGGCTTCTAAAAGAAGAAAATAATAGAGACTGTCACGAAAGGCCTGGTCTTCGTGAACTCTATGGAAAGCAAAGTTGCATTTCATCTTGTACAAATTTCATGGTTGCAAAAGGTTGCGAATTAGAAGAAGAGAAATTGGTAGTTTGCACAAAGATTATATCACAGACTTTGTGCCGCATTCTTGAAGCATAGCAACTAGGGTTAGTCCCTCAACTTTTATCTCACTACAACTTGGGCTCGATTGTCAGATAGGTTAATCGACTTCTTAAATTCCTCCTGTGATGTTTGGGGTGTACCTCTATTTCACTTCCAAAAAAAGAGGAAGCCGTGGCTGTGCTGATTCGATCAAGGCAACACTCAGTTCATTAATAATCGTTACTAGAATCAACCATGAAAGGGGCTGCTTGGTGCAAATTCACTAATGTATTCTGTGACGGCTCTTGCAAAGGCTTCTAGATCGTATTCTTGCAAAACAAAACCTAGTAAATGTAGTGAAGGAAGGTATGTTTTTGTTGACTCCAATTGTTTGTTGACTACGAAAGTGAATATAATTAGGCTTTGCTGCAAAGATTTTTTTTGCTGCTCAGTGGTTTGGCAAACAGCTTACAAACCTGTTGTAAGCGTTTAAACTGTCACTCATCCTCCAGATAAACTGCTTTTAAAAATGAGGCGAGAATAAGCTGTGAGCAATATTTCTTTTCTTGGGAATTCAGTCACCAGCTCCAGTTTCTCTGGCATTGTAATGTATGCCTGGGCGCAGTTACCGTAGCAACTGCGACCAGTTTCACATTGGGTGCTTACTCACTAGATACAAACTATGGTTTTTGAACGTTAGGCTATGCTCACATTTTCAGCACTCGAACAAATAAGTGAGAATCAGACGGCAAAGCTATTTCCTCATCAGTACAAGTCTGGAATGTTTGGTCTGACATTGCAGCAGCTACAGGTATCATATTCACACAGAACTCCCATTTCTTGATATTACTGTTTAATCTCCGATTGATCTGAATGCGCTCTGTCTCATAATGTTCAGTGCCTTTCGCGCTTTTTTTACTTTCGTTCTCATTTCCATACCCGGGTGTTATGCCTGAATTAGGATATCGTTTTTTTCTAACGAAAGCGCGCACAGCGAGCGGAACTAGTCAGCAAGTAGAATGCACTATCGGGCACTTGCGTTGTATATGTTCCAATACTCTTTTCCGCTATACCTGCCACTTGGAAAAATTTGCGATTTGCTTCATGCGACGGAGAAAATCAGCATCACTTGATTAAATTCTAAATCGCTTCTTCAACAGCCGTTGATCCATCTTGAATTTTAGCAGGCGATTTGATAAAAGCTTGTGATCAATATGACTCACCAGAACCAATTTCATTTGATGCTCAGTTTTCGCCAACTTCATTTTACATATGTTGACAAAGAAATTCGAAAACTGTATAGAATATATGCAGTGGGCTACGCTTATGATGATCTGCCAAATCCGCATATGCAGCTGAACTCGCAGATGTTCTATTATTTTCTACTATTTCGGTTACGTCTATGACAATCTTGTTTGAGCTTAACAATGCCAAAAAGCTCAAAATATGAGCTTATACCACCTAGATGACTATTCAATCTCATCTCCAGAATCTTTCGGGAGCACCTGCTGCACTCATTTCCATTTTCGGTTGTATTGTTCCGATATATTGGAGTACAAATGATCTTTATAATGTATAATTGATCTTGTGTTCTGCTTTGCCATCTGCTATCTAAGCTGCACTTGTAATCACGTAAAAATAAGAGGTTCTCGAGACAAGGGAGTGGGTTTATGCTCCTTCCAACAAGCGTATAACTCTTCCATAGAAATTTTTTTTTGCATACTCTATTTTTTCTAACCGCACTGATTCTTTTTTCATTGCTCATGTGAATTTCTATGTCGAAAACCTGCGCTATCTTCTAAACTGAAGGGTAAGAGCATAAGTATGAATGCGCGTCAAGTAATGGTTCTATTGTTCTTCTATTGCTACGAGCATTCAAAATGAGTCAATGCCATATGATTTGAAAGCAGGTGATTTATCATTTCATAATTTGGTTGTTGTGGGCTATATGTCTACTTTTCTCGCATCTTGAAAAATGGGTACTGTTGTCATGCTCTTCCATCTTATATAAGTTGCTTACATTTGTTCCCTCTTTATCTGGCTCACTTATAGAAGCGCATTTCTCAGAAAACGCTTTAAGCCAATCAGTGCATGAGCCGATGTGTTTTTTTGCAGGAAACGAGCACTGAGGAAAATCGTCGCCAGATTGGGCTGGGCAGAGAGGGACTACTAAAAAGGATCTGGAAAGCCGTTTTTCCTCCCAAACCCAAAGATGCGTCCGTCTAATCGTCGCCTCTACTGCGAATACCGTCCCTCTTATATTCGCCCGTCTGTAAGGGAGCCTTACTACCCAGTACTCGATCCGCTGTCAGATCGGAACCTTACTTCTCGATCTTACCGGCCTAGGTCTTCTTCCTACCACAGATACTGCACTTCTACAGAAATGTATTCATCAAAATCGAGCGAGTCGCTTTCGACGACAACGCTTGAAGTTTATACTGTCAATAAAGGTTAGCGTATATACTGTGAATATCTTTGATATCAATCTCGCTTATGAATATTGACGTGAAAAGTAATATTTACGTTCGTAAATGTCAAATAATTTCTATAAGTCTAATGAAAAAAACACCTGTGTTTACCATGCAGGCGAACTGCGGCTCTAAGATTGCTTATCAAAATTTGTTATAGCCTAGATGCGTCCAACAAAAATTGAGTAGGAAGTTAGTGTTGGAATAAAAATGAACAGCTAGATTGTGCTAAAAGGTAAGTTTGTGTTTTAATCACAGATAAGCTGATTTGCATCTGTTTGTCGTCATTCTCTACAAAATCTGTCTCTTCAGATCTTAAAAATCGACCATTTGAACAGTCCCTTAGTGGAATAAGCTCAGATAGAATTGGACCTTTTTTCTTTCTTGTTTTCACATTTTACCATCACTTTCTCAGAGCGATACATTGCAAATCTACTGCGTGTTTCAAGCATCTGTTTTCCAAACAGAGGGTAGCACTCATGGGATATCAATATACTTCTTGGGCTATGAATTCATCTTGCATTGCATTCATCTAATGAGATAACTTCGTTATCTCCTTATTCGTTCATTGAGCAATCGTTTATCATTTATCAAGCATTTATCACTTACAGAGCCCTCAATCTGCTCAATACAATCGTCAATTTAACATTCATTCTCCATTCTGATATATCTATACAATAGCCTCTTTCAATGATCTGAGAAGTCCAGTTTGTAAGGCGTTATATTTTCGTCTACACCCTCCTAGGGGTCTAACTACGATAACTTGTTCAAAACTTAGTATATGCCCTCCTCTTCAAATTCCTTTGTAAAGCTTGATTTTATTATGCTGCTTTGTGCAATTATGAATTCGGGTATTCATATATTGCTGTGATTCTCTGTGCGTTACTTTTTTTACCTAAAATTTTATTTTTCTACTTTCTTGATGAGAGGCGTTTCAAAGCCGTACTACATATGATTAGTCAAAGTGTAAACTCTATTGCAATGCTGCAAAACTTTCGTAATTTTATGCTACACAATTTGTTCATCGCAGTTCAACGGGATTAGGTCACGAGTTAAGCTGTCGAGTTCATTTGTGTGCGAATATCCTGCGGATCGTTTTCTGTAGTCTGATGAATTGTGAATAAATGGGCCAATCGGTTTTTCCAATCATTGTCACATCACTTAGACCAGTTTGTCATATGTAATTACACCGCAGCTTGCATAAAAACTACATGAAATTGTGCAGATGAGCTAGACTTTTGGGAAAATCTTAGCTAAGTTATTTTGTTGATGCTTTTTGATTTAGCAAATTCTCTTTCAAACGAGTGAGCTGTGAGCTTTTCAACATGTATCGTTTTGTTCCCGTTGTAATTCTTTGGGATCAACGTCATCTCGTAGGTTTGTCATTGTTTGATCGCTGAAGTTCTCTTTGCACTGACTTTTGAAGTGCCAGGAAATGCTTCTGTGCTTCTTTCCGCTGGTTCTGACGTACTTAGTACGCATGCATTATTTCAAACTTGCTCTAATAGCTGCTTTCGTCGTTTGTGCAGCATAAAAACTCTCAGCTGGAATTTTTTAGTTTAGCAATCAAAGAATGCGTTGCCGCTCTCTGCTTAGCAGACGCCATAAAAACTCAGTATCAGAGTTATATGACACTTACTACTAATGTTGCTTACAATGTAATGGGTAGTCGTACTCAGTTTTGTTCAATTGCTTATCAACCTTGATATTCCCTCATACACAGATACTTCTCAATCATCTGTTCGAGTCGTGAAGATGACAGTTTTTTTTTGGAATTTTCTAGAACGCTTCATGTAAGGTCTACACCAAATATCAATCTGCTCTTCCCTTGCTGTCACAGCGGCGCTCTACAGGGTAGTAGAAGAAGCCATCCTGTTTGTAGATAATTTGTATAATCGGAAATTACAAGCACAGCAATTTTCCATGTTATACATAAGCCACTTGATGAGCATACTATGTTCTTTGACAAAGATTTGAACTCTCGCGATTCCTTAGTACTTTCTTTCGTGATCCCAACTCTGTTGCACCTTTTTGGAAAACTCTTGAGTTATTTCTATCTCATCAGTCGTGTTTCTTTTGATTATTGATGGAAAGAGGAAATTATGTACATCCTTAAGCCTATTTGGGACTCTTTAAAAGAAGCAGGTCGCAGATTTAGAAGCGGAAGAAGATTACGCAGGCTTTGTGTTCCAAGCAAACTCACCATAAATCTAGGGGCGTTATGGTAAAATCCGAAATTTAACGTGAATTTAATATCCTTTTCTTTCTTATGAAGAAAATTTGGTACTGAGCATTCTATGGAAAGTTAATTTATTCGACAAAATAGCAAAGTATATTGGCCGTTTTTTACTGTACCCTCAAGAGTTTTAGCTTTCTAGGGATGCTCAATCAGCACAATTTTTGCTCACTTAAAGGCAGCGTCCAGGCAAGTCTGTACACATGGGCATCTCACGTGGATAGTAATTTTGGGGCCCTAAAAGCCACTGCCCAACCGGCAGCTCAGGTAGTGCTCTAACTGCTGAGATATTCTCCTCGAAACTGGACCCAGCGATCGTATTTCGCGTGGATTCATGGCGCAAAGCGTGGATCCTGATCGAAAATGCCATGAATCCATGCGAATACGATCGCGGGGTCCAGTTTCGAGGGGAATATCTCAGCCGTTAGAGCACTACCTGCGCTGCCGCTTGGGCAGTGCCTTAGTTAGGGCCCCAAAAGTACTTTCCACGTAAAATCCCCATAGGTACAGATCTGCATGGGCGCTGCCTTTAAGAAGAAGAAGTCAAAAACTTATGCATGTGTGTTCTAGATTTATGAATGTTTCTTTCTTTGTGAGCTCGTCAAGAATCACCAGAGCACGAGTGAGTTTCTATTTCTGCAGGCTGTACAGGGTGCGTCAAAAGTCTGGGAACTTAGAGCTTTCGTTGGTTGGCCCACGCATAATCCAAAGTATTACAAACATAGCCTATCGTTCAAATTTTGAAGAAGCCTCTTTTGGTTTCAGCCAGCCCTCGGATTCTTGGCTAATGTACCTGCCGCTGCACGCAGGTAGTCGTAATGAATCTCATCCCCAGCTTCACAACTGCTTCTTTCATTCATAAGTTGTGCAGCATGATAGAGCAAACTTTTGTCTACACTATGCTTTGGAGAAAAACTTTTGCAAAGTTCGGTGATAAAAAATATCGTAATTTCAGTTGGAGGCATGCTTAAAGGCAGTGTCCGGGCAAAATGGGGGTTCTGAGATTTCTCTGCCATGTGAAAGTAGCCCCCCTGAGACACAACATCGCGCAACTGCGAGCATAAAACGTTCGACCTAAAGCAAGAAAAACGATTGCAAATTGGGGAAACTTACGCCTTGGGGCGGGGTCCTCCGAGTTGTTTGAATTCCTGCCAGACGGCAGAGTACGTATGCCGCCACAGTTAAAAACCGTGCGCTCTTTGCAACCTCTGCGTCTTAGCCTGGCGGGGATCCCCAAATTTCGAAATGTGAGGACTTGGAAAATGCATGTTCTCGCCGTTTTCGCGCCTTCTGATGTGGATTTTCGGATTCAGCGTTGCGGATAATCCCAGATAAGTTGGTTTTTTAGAAGTCGAGTTTCTGCCCGGACACTGCCTTTAAGTCACATAGCGATAATTTGAATACGACTGCTTGGAAAAAAAAACGGAAAATCAACGTCTAACAAGGGAAGTCACTTAACTTAGGTCGACCTTTTGAAATGAGACACAATAGTTGCAATCAGCTTGAAACGCTGATTTCAAATCTGCTTTCCATAGCTGCGAAGCATTACTCTGAAGCGAGTTATGTGATTTTTCTTCAGCAAATTTTGCTGTGTTGACCGACTTAGGCAAGCTACGGTATCATCATCTAGGTAGTGGTTCAAATGCATACTATGCATACTACGCATTATCAAAGCCAAGTGACTCAATTTGATGTTATTTCGATTTTCCACCACTTTTTGGGCAGATATTCATCGAAAGGCCCTCTTTCCATATTCAGTTATATGTCAATGACACATAATAAAAAAGCTCATAACTCGCTTCAGAGGAACGCTTCGCAGCTAAGAAGATCATATTTGGAATCAGCGTTCCAAGCTGATTCTAAATATATCTGTCTCATTTCAAAAGGCCGACCTAAGTTAAGTGACTTCCCTTGTAAGAAGCTTAGAAAATGTTCCATCAATCAAATTTGAGATACATGGAAGGTCCATGGAAAAAAAAATAGTCCTTCTCGCAGTGGCTGCTGCCTCTAGCTTCCAAATCTGTTACAAGAAGGAGGTCCACTGACACGCAGGCAACATTCACAGAAACTTATTTTTCTTTTCGAAAAAATAGCTACTGACAAGCACAACTGGTAACATGTAGTAGCGCAAAGTCTCCTCTACTTTGTAGGCGCTATACTGTTGTAGAATATTTTCGCTGTTTCCAGTTATGGAATAAATTGTAAACGCCAAAATTTTTGAGTTTTGAGTTTGCAGTACTAGATTGACTTATTCTGTCATCACAAAACACATGTCAATCCTTTTAAGCTCAAAAGGTATATTTTGTAGAGAATGGTTATAGCATTGCATAAACTTGGAATCAAACTCATCAGTAGCTTAATAAGTTAGGGTAATACAAAGTAAGCTACCAAACTTTTGAAGCACCCTCTATATTGGAAGATTTCAGGCTGTCTCTAAAAAGTACATGATTCATTTCTTTGAAAATAGTATGCTAATTAAGACCATTATTAATTATGCTAATTGAGACCATTGAGTAGGAAAGAAGTATAATCTTTTAAAATGGCGCTGTGGAATTACATCCTGATCTGTAACTTCTATCTCATATGGTTTGAAAAAGCTACAACAAGAATTCCATTAGTAGCCATCATGGGTTCTATTCATTTATCATCGCTTAATTCATCAAAGATGTTCTGTAATAAACAAAAATAACCGTTAGTGGTCGGCCCAATTGTCAGATCGTAGCCTTTTTCCACATCGGGTTTTATACTACAATTCCT